TGTGAAAACAGGCTAATACAAATGAGATAAAGGAAAATTGAGTGTAGGAAAGATAAGCTTTCCTAGGAGTGAGGTTCACGTACCAGATGAATGTATTCCATAAAAGTCTGCACATTCGCTAGAGGTAGGTCAGAGGTTTGGCTCTTAATACTTGTAGCAGCCAACAAACCCAGGATGGCCCAATCAGTTACACAATTCAGCCTCCTTAAGATAAATAGGTAATAGAGTAATGTTTCTCCCTCAGTCCTCATTAAAATGATACTATGTAATATAACAAATGATTTTTCAACAACATTCTTGCAGTTGATTTCTCAGAGCTGAGGAGACTATTCCTCCAAACAACCCTCATAGGCAAATGACAGCAAACAATTCAATAAAAGCAAATGATGGAGAGGAAAGCAGGAGGGCCAAGCAAGGGGTTCAGATACACAGTTTCTTGCAGATCTAAATGTATCAAAACCAGATTTTATTCTATCTAGACTAACCTGAAATCCAGAGGCTTCATGTATCCACTTGTCTCTGAAACTACAAAGAAAATTTGATATGCATGTCCTTTTTTCTGGGGAATATGTCTGTAGTTTCATAACATTCTCAAAGAGCAGCATGACTCAAGAAAAGTTAAGAACCACTGATCCAAAGAATCAGACTCTATATATATATTCTTCAGGCAACCCTCCATAAGCAGTTTATTTTCTGAGCTTCTGAGAAGTGCTGAGCCTCAAGACTGCAGCCCCTGGCAAGCGCCTGAAGTATGGCTTCTCCCTCATGCAAAATGTAGAACCCTAGGCTTTAACCACTGGCCAAGCTGTGTGTCAATTGTCAAGATACATAAGACCTTTAATAAAGTAATGCTCATGAACATATGGAGCACATAACAACTATTCTTCTAGCTAGGCTTCACCCATAAACATTGATAGAGGTGCCAAAGGATTTAGTGATACTTCTTCTAGATAGTATTAAAAAAATAAAAAACAACAACAATAAAACACCTTTTGCCTGTAAATAAAAATTACAAGTAAGCATAAAAACAATGATTTTCCTAGATAAAAATCATTTTTATCTTAAAATAATCTTTCTACATCAATTTACATAACGAGCTCCTTTTTACCTTTTTGTTGTTTTGATCTTGTTATATAAGAAAACAATCACTGCCATACCTTTAGACACATACACACACAGTGAACCATCCACACACAGTATCATGGTTAGAATCAAGGGAGGAAGCTGGCCTGTAGGACCACTGAGATAAGGCTCTTTAAAATCTCATCCATCTAGAAGAAGACACAGCCCTACAGAGTCTGGTCCTCAGCATAAAAAGTCCAGAGACATATCTTTGCCAAAGAATCCACAGTTAAATATGCTCAAGAGGAACTACCTCATGGTAACCCAAATCTATAAGAGGCTGAAGTACAAATCAGAATACCAACTTACTAATTAATCATAGAGAATATTCCTTTTGACTGTAAGAAAATTTACACCTGAAGCCACGACACAGTTTTCTCAAATATCTGGATAACTGAAATCCTGAATTAGTAATCAGAAGTCCACTGAAAGTTAGAACCTTGAGATATAGAGAGTTTGGGAGATACCTAATAAATTATCCTTGCACTACATACATCTTCATAGTGATCAAAGCTGTGGCTCGCACGGGAAGAGTCTCTCTCCCTTGAATATTGCTGCCCCAGCACTGCAGACTTCTTGTCTTCTTGGCCTTTCCTCTTCCATATCCTTCTCTCCATTAGGTACTTCTCTAGACAGGGTATAATACAACTGATGAAGACACACCTTACACACATTATTATCCCTATTTTCTAGATAATAAACTCCCAGATAAAGTTGTTTTAGCAACTTGTCCAATGTTGCAGCTACTATAAAGCAGAGCACAGATTCAAAGTCAGATCTCAAGTCAAAACCTATGCTTCTAATCTTAAAGTAAACAATATCTTCAAGGTGTTTTTTCCTGGGCCTTCCTACCTCCCAATCTGATTTAAATGTCCCTCCTCTGTGTTACCATAACACTCTAAGTGTACCATGACTATAATTTTTGGTATAGAGGTCTATCTCTCTCATTTGACTGAAACTTTTTGAGGATAGGGGTTATATTTCATTCACCCTTGTATCCCCAGGGCACCATCTATCTAGGTAAATATTCAAGCCAATTTGTCCAGTGGTTTCATATGGAGATCAACAAACTGAAGGCCTTGAACTAGCCACATAGCCTTAGGAAGGTCACAACTTCTCCAGCTATCAGCATCTCAGCTTAAAAGAAAAAAAAAGGTGGGGGATGAAATTAATATACACAGATGAAATGGATATAGAAGGATATACAAGGTAATGTCTCCTCTGCATCTAAAGAGCACTACAATTATAGATGGGCCCTAGTTTTTGATGGCCTACCTTATTAGTGTGAGTTATTAGAAATAAAATTAAACTCATTTATCTTCTGTACCATTCTAGAGACAGAATATACATAAATAATAGAAAGTTCAGAAAAAGCTTCCTCTTTTGTGACAGGAGCTAACATCATCTATACCAAAATCAAACAGTGGCACCCTCCTCTGGTGAATGTTAAAGGAGCTAAACAACACACAAGAATTCGATGGTAGGATTTTGAATGATTATACATAAAGAAAAAGCAAGAGAGAAACTACCTAATATTATCCATCACCGTTATACTCCCAATAGCAACTAAGTAACTCCTTTTGTAGCACTCCCCTTATTTTGCCCTAAAACAAAGCCAAAATGAACTAACTGGCTACATACGGTAAGAGATTGTGAACAGAACAAGTATTCTATTTGTAAGAGTACTGATAATATCAATTATTTTGCAAACAGTATGCTTTTTAATGTAAGGCACAAAGAAAAGTATTTCATGGTTTGGCTAACAATGATCATCTTTTCATTTGTTGTTAAAAAATTTAATGACAAGCCACATACGTGTAAAATACTTTTAGTAAAATGAAAGCATTTATCGTGTCCCTTTTCTGGAGGGTACCTTTACCACAAGATAGTACTAGAAAATTTTCAACCTGAAAAGTGTTTTGGTCTGCACATTTCAGGTTTTACAGTATCAACTTAAAAGAAAAAAAATTTAAATCACCCAATCACTTACACTTTTTTAACCCAAGGCTAAAATTATGCCAATGCATCACACCCAGACAAGCACAACCCAAAATTCCACCACATTACTATTACAACCAAATCTTTAATAAAATTAAAACTGTGCTTTCTAAGACCAGAAGCAGATTATTACCAGCCACCAATTTTAATATAAAAATATATAATAAATATAAGCTTATTAAATGATTTACAAAGGAAGGAATCACAGCTTCCTTCACCCTCACTGAATTTAGGCACAAAAAAATGAAAATACAGATAGTCTACTTCAAGCCAAGAAGACAAATCAGCCATTATACTGGCAACTTTGTCATTATGGCATGTTTTTGCCCATGTACACAGCCTCTTTTCCCTCAATTAATTTTACATCTTTCACTTACTCTGTGACCAAGGGGAGGGGATCCCAACATTAACCAAGAGGTTACAAATTTACAACCAGTGAGAAACTTGCATTCTGAAAAAACAGAATATAAAAAAAGCTAGGGTGGATGGAAAATGGCAAAAACTGATTTCAGTTCTACCAAATGAGTTTTCCTACTAAGTTTGTCATTCTTGGCAAAGTTGGTTCTACAAGGCAGGTAGGCACAGTAGCATGAAAAGATTAGCAGAGTGGCAGGTGAGGAATGCAGATGAGATATCCAGTTGAAAGCTTTCTCAATGTTTACCCAAAACAAAGGCCAAAGAACAAGCAAATGCTTGAAAAAGAATGGCAGTCCCTGCAGTTCCCTACAGCGTACCCAGAGATCAGAGGGCAGAGAAGAAAGTTGGGGGAAAACTTGTATGGGAGTTCAGGGGAAGGGTGTAATCAAAAACAGGAAGGGGTTAAGAATAAGAAAAGTATGCCGCCAAAAGGGAAAACAAAGAGTATGCGGCAAAGAACCCGTTACAAACTGCCAAATTGAGAGATGGGGTGATTGGTCCAGTGTTCTTTGGAGCATGGCGCTAGAGCCACATTAGCCTCTCACTTTGCCTGGGCCAATGCGCAAGGATCAGAGCCAACCCTTGCCTAACCTCCAGGAAATCTGGGCCTCAGCGCACAACCCGGGTGCTGCTGAAATGTGGGAGAGGGAACTGAACCTGCCTCTAGCTATCTCATGTTTCCAGATGAACCACAAACAAAGGAATCTAGAAGCAGGGCAACTTCTGCACCCCCAAGCCTGCCAGGGCGCAAGGGTGAGGTCAAGGCACCGCCTCCTTTGCGGGCATAGCCACCTCTGCAAAGGCTAGAGACATCTAGGTCCTGCTCTGAGATCCTGGTAAAAACAAGCGGCCAGCGAGGCGCTCCTGTCAATTGGCCCGATTGCACTTGTAAAGTTGATAGAGTTGGAAAGAAGCGCAGAGCAGCCCCTCGGATTCCTCCCTAGAGTGAAGGCGATGGGAAGGAGTCACAGCTTCCTTCACCCTCAGTGAGCTCGCTCTGCAGGTATAGTCTCTTTTCCTAATGAAGCATAAAAGATGTTGTCTTCCTTCTCTGTGCCTAGTTCAACTCAAACCCTAGAACAAGGGCACTGGGGTCTGGGACCAAAGTTCACTGGAGATACCATTAATTCTCCTTGCTAAGCTAGCACAGTGTTTGCTGGGTTCCAGCCTTGGGAACCTCGTATTAAGTAGCAACAAATATGCTGTGGATGACTCTCCTTTCCCTAAAGTGGACCCTCAGCCCCAAGAAGTCTGGATCCAGCAGTGCTTTTGGTAACTTGAGCCGCATTTGTCCAGCCAGGTACCATGGTGTCATCACCACGCCCCTCGCACCCAGATCCTCTCACGCTGCGCACACGCTGTCCTGTTTATACACACACACACACACGCGCGCGCGCACACACACACACACACGCACACGATATATACACAGACACAAATACAAAGCCCCGGGTAGCTCCTACCTCTCCCCCGTGCCCGTCGAATATCCCGAAGATGGACGGGTGCGTCTTGTTGGCCAGATCCGTGAGAACTTCGAAGCGGTCCTCCATGTGGTCTCTTCGGCCCTGGATGGAGTACACCGCCACGTTGTGGCTCTTGAACTCCCAGGTCTTGGAAAATTCGGCCTCCAGCACATCAAGCCCCCCGAGTCGATCGTTCTGCATGATCTCGGCTACCTTGCCCTTCACCATTTTCACAGCGTCCCGGCTGGACTTCACTATGGTCTTCACCTCGTCAGTGTGGAAGAAGTAACTCCACAGAGCCAAGCTGATGCACAGCAGGAAAAGCGTCTCGGGTCTCAGCAAGAAGTAGCGCATGATGCGACCCAGCAGAGACAGCAAAGTCATTGTATCCTCTATCATTTATTATCGCTAGAGCCTCAACCACCACCAGCGACGCGCGCCCCGAAGGCTCGCCGGGTCCGGGAGCACTGCGGGGACAGCCAGCCGGGAGGGAGGTGGAGCAGTGCCCGAGGGTGGGGGCGAGGCTCGCGGAACCCAGCCGGAGGCAGCCGAGCAGGCGGCTCCGAGCGGGCAGCGCGAGCACAGGCAGCTTCCCTTTTGTCTCCCCGCCTCGGCGGCCCGGAGGCCCGTCCCTGCCGCCCGCGCCGCCTCCCCTCCTCAGCCCCTTTGTGAGACAGCGGCGGCAGCGGTAGCAGCAGCCGCCGCAGCAGCAGCCGCGGATGCCCCGATTGGGCAAGAGGAATCAAGTTAAAGTTGCGCCGGGCGGGTCTGCCGCGGTGAGCGGGAGAGTTCAGGGGCGCCAGCGCCCGCGCGGTCCCTCCGGGGGTGCCCCTCGAGATTCCCGGGAGCGATCAGCAGGTGAGGCGCAGGGCTCCACAGCCCGGCGGACAAGGGATGCAGGTCCCCTCGGTCGCCGCCGCAGGGGAGCGCGGAGATGGCCGAACGTTCCAATTCCTTCACACACCCCCTGGGGCCCCAGAGAATAAAAGTTTTGCGGATGCCTGGGCAGAGACAGGGGTACGCAGAGCCTGGCGACGCGGCACGATCAGTACTGAGCCGCAGGCGGCCGGCTGGGCTCTGCCTGCCTCTCCCCAGGCACCTCCCAGCTCGGCTCGGCTCGGCTTGGCTCGGCTCCGCTCGGCTCGGCTCCGCTCGGCTCGGCTCGGCTCGGCTCGGCTCGGCGCCGCTTCACTCGCGCGCTCCCTCCTCGCGTCCCGGCTCGCGCGCGCTCCGCCCCGCGCGCGCTCACCCCGCCCCGTCCCGCCCCTTAAGTCGGGACTCAACACCCGGAGGTGTTCCCACCGAGCTGTCGCAGGCTGAGCAAGTTCCGCGGCCGCCGGTGCGCGCTCGCGGCCCCAGGCGGTCCAGGCCAGCCAAGGGGGAGAAAAGAGGGAGGTCAGCTATCTAGCTCTTGCGAATGGTTGTTCCTTCCCCCTGTGTCGGCTCCTAAGACAAGCTAATACTGACCCTGGTAGTCTTAGCGTTGGTTTTCCAGGAGCTACTGCTGCTCACTGGGAAGCCGAGAGTTCCACGTGAGCGTTCCCCCCTTCGGCGGCAGCACTGTAGTGCGGTCCCCTCTTCGCCAGGCATAAGGCAAGCGAGAAGGGACGCACTTCTCCCGGCTTGCAAAGCGATAGGGAGACGACCCGGCCGCTGGCCGCGGTCTCGGCGTTTGGCAACAGAGGCCTTCCCGGCTACTCTCGAGAGTCGGGGAGCTAGCCTGGGTCTAGCGACCTTCTTCCTCCCGAAAACAGCAGAAAGGGGGGACTCGAGAGAATGACCTCTGTTTCCCCAAGGAAGTGCACTCTGACGATAACCTCGGGAGGGACGAGAAGGGCCGCTCTTTCTGAGAGCGGCCGCCGCCCCTGGAGCAGGGGACTCAGCGGCCACGAAGGCCTTGCCTGCTCGCAACCTTTCCACGGGGAGGCACGAAGCTTCCGATGGGGGCCCCCGGGCGCACCTGACTCTTCTACGGGGCGAGGGCTCTGACTCTGCGGTTCAGGTTTGAAGGTCCCTTGGAAGCTCGGAAGTGGTGGTCTCCTTCCACCTCCTCGGTCATCGCAGGAAGAAGGTTCAGTTGGGGGCGGGAGTCTGGATGAGCGGAGAGTAGCCGCCCTGGAGAAGAGTGCGGGCTTGCAGGAGCCGAGGAGGATAACTCGAAATGTGGGCAGGCAGGTGTTGGTGGGTCTTGAAGGTGGGAAGGCACGAGAGAAGAACAATGTCCGCGTCCGCTTAAAATACGGAAAGAAGTGAGCTTTGAAGGAAAATACTCATTTTCACTACCCCTGTCCAGGAAGAAGAGTGCTGATCTGCTTCTTCCAGTCCGCTGGGCTGAAGAGCAGAGAGGCTGCTTGATCCCAGCCAAGCCAGTGTCTGTCACCCAACAAACACTTCTGCCTTGATGTGATCCCCATTCCTTTTCTAAAAATAAAAAATAAGAAGTCCTGGAAGGAAATACACTAAAATGTTCCCAGTGGTTAATCATTCATACAGTAGTAGATTATATGCCGCTTTCATTTTCTGCTTTAGACTTTTGTCTATTTTCCATAACTTTTCTAAAGTTTCCACAAAAGCTATATATTTCCACCATAGGCAGAAAAAAATGAAAATGTAAGCATTTAAATGACATACAATATAATCTCAATAATATAAACATGCGTACAAAAGACAGGAAGGAGATAAGAACTGCTAACAGTATGTTATTTTTCACAACTAGGATATAGTCTCCTGTCCTGCTTTACATTTCAGGTATTTTCATCTGATAAATCGAGAAAATAAACAGTTTAAAATAAATTCAGTCATTCTGTCAAGAGGTTCCAAAATGAGATAATGAATTAAAGAACCTTTAGGAACTAGAAAGAAAAGTAATGCATAAGTGTTATTTTGAAGATAAGTTTACAATATTTCTTACTGTAAATTATCAAATCACTCGGGTGCATTGTCAGTCTTTCTGTACATGAATCCGTTTCACTGTGGCAAAGGCAACTTGCAGATAAGCTGATAAAAATTCCAGAACTACAAATCAAACTAGGCCCTGGAGTAGCAAGCAGTAAAATTCCAAACCCAAAGGCCCATCCAGTCTGTCCACTACGTTCCTATATTGATGAGAGCAGAACAGACACTCATGAGAGACATGACTTCTTCCCCCATAACTAAGTAAAGAAGAGAGATTACCATACTGATGATCTCCCTGGAGGTTTCATAGCAAGGCTTGACTTGATGAATTAATTAATAAATCTAAATATCCTGAAGATTTGGTGGAAATATGCTTTGACATTTACATCTAAGTGTTCATCTGTGAAAATCAGTAAAATATTTTTTCATGCAGACCCTATACGCATTTTCTTATTAAAAATTCATGTGGTTTATGTGGCAATTTCCAAAAATGCCTAAATAAACTCTGTTATAGTTTACTGTTAATTTTAATATATTACAAAAAGAAAAAAGACCTTCCTCTAGTGACTAACATTTGCATATTCGTGAGGATTATAAAGGTGTTTCATGTATGGCAATGTTATTTTCATTCTCCTAACAATCCTCTGAGGAAGATAGAAGTTATTATCTCTGTTTATGAGGAAAGTGAAGCACAAAGATGTTAAGTGAATATCACTGTTCAGCAAATAAGAGGTTATACATTCAAACTCAGTTCTTTTGATTACCAGTTCAATACTCTAACATCCATTATTGCCCAGTGATACTGAGATGATTACTCTAATTTTTGTGCTTCTCCACTAATATTTCACTACATTTCTGTTACAGAAATCTCAAAAAGAATGCATGTATTCTTATTCCTCAATTCTGTTTTTAGCCTTTGGGATAAGCACTTCACCATGACTATTTACCTCACCCATTGAGAATACCTGTGGGGCAGAAAACGGGTGCAAGTAAAGTGTACTTCTTTAATAAACACCTAAGAGATCTGTTGCTAAAGTAAAATAGTGTTAAAATTTCACAGAGGAAAGAGGTACCATAAAATATGCATTATACAAATACTTTGCCATTGCAAGTGACCTGGTAATAAACAGAATTAATGGCAATCCTAGGTTTTCATGGGATATAACAATAGTGATAAAACTGTTTACAGGCAACTATTGTTTTCTACTTTGCAATTAACCCATGTCAGCCCTGCAAGTATATAAAAAAATATATAGCTTTTAAAAATAATGTATTCTCAAAAATATTTCAGAATTGTAGCTCTTAGGTTTAAAAAGTCTTTAAAACGGAGTTTGATAACCAATAAATCTATTTTCTAGTATGATGTTGTTTTAGGATGTCCTTATCTACTTTATTTTTTACCACCTCATAGAACATGATAAAAAGTGGCTCACGCCTGTAATCCCAACATATTGGGAGGCCAAGGTGGGCGGATCATTTGAACCCAGGAGTTTGAGACCAGCCTGAGCAACAGGTGAAACCCTGTCTCTACTAAAAATACAAGAAATTAGTCAGGAATGGCATGTGCCTGTGGTCCCAGCTAACCAGGAAGCTGAACTGGGAAGATCATCTGAACTCGGGAGGCAGACAGTGCAGTGAGCTGTGATTGCACCACTGCACTCCAGTCTGGGTGACAGAATGAGACCCTGTCTCATAAAAACAAAATGTAAAGTGACTTATCTACTGAGACTCTGAATGATAAATATGATTTTTAAAATCCTTTCAAGTAAATTTTATATGAAACTTATACACATAGAAATTCTCTGCACAGTTTTAAATTTCTCAATTATCGCTTTGATTTATATTCTTAAATTTTTCCTGCCATCTGTATACAAATATGTAGTAGGCATTAAGTAGGACTCTCTTACTGACATTCTATTAGTAATTATAACCTTTTAAAGGATATATATAAAAGAGCATTCAAGTATTGTTATGAAATACAACAACCATGCATAAACACAGCACCCAACCAAAAAACTGGAGTGTTACCAATATCTTCATACCAACTTCCCCTATCCCACTTCCATGCCTGTCCTCTCTACAGGTAGCCTACTATCCTGAATTTTATGTTTTACTATCCCCTTGCCTTTTTTTTTTTTTTGAGACAGGGTCTGTGTCATCCAGGCTGGAGTGCAGTGACACTATCTTGGCTCAGGCGATCCTCCCACCTCAGTCTCCCAAGTAGCTGGGACTATAGGCGAATGCCACCACACCTGGCTAATTTTTGTATTTTTTGTAGAGACGGGGTTTTGCCATGTCGCCCAGGCTGTTCTCGAACTCCTGAGCTCAAAAACCCACCCACTTCAGCCACCTGCCTTGCCCTTTTAAAAAAATAACTTTATCATATGTGTCTGCGTCCCTAAGTAGTATATTTTTTAGTTTTGTTTTGGATTTGAGCCTTATGAAAAGTGGTATCTTACTGTATATAGTCCTCTGGTACTTGTTTTCTTCTCTCACTATTATGTTTCTAGATCCTCCTATGTTGTTGCGTATAGCTATAAACTGTTACATATAGCTGTGAATCAGTCATTTAACAGCTATGTAATACTCCATTGTGTGACTGTTCCATAAGTTATATATTCATCTTCTGTGGATGTTCAAATTTCCAAGTTTTTACTATTAGGATCAATAATTTCTTGAATTACTCTTGTATTAGGTCTTGGTGCACATATGCAAAAGTTTCTCTATATATACCAAAAGTGAAATTACTTAATGATAGAGAATGAAAATGTTCGGCTTTACAACTTAAGGCCAAATTGTTTTTGAAAATATGTTGTTCCCTTTTACAGTCTAACCAACAGTGTAATCAAAGCTCCTTAATGAAAAGGACCATATAAATTATGTTTTAAAGTAGATTTCAATTTGGTCCTTTAGTAAATAGTTATCCATGGTCATGTCTATTAAACTGTATTAAGCCTTCAATTCTTCTCATAAAACCTTTCTAGATGCAAAATTTAATACTAAATCTTGTTTCAAATGCATGTCCATATATCAATAAAAACGTTTTAAAATAACTACATAAAAAATGTCAATGACCTTCGAGTGAAAAATGAATGTTTTAGTAGTATAGCTAAGAAAAAATTCATCACTTTAAGTATAATGGTATATCAATTTAGATTTACGTTAATATCTCTGGGGTTCTATCAAACGAAGAACTCACGTGACAGACACCAATTATGTTGGGGTGCAATATGATTTTATTTCACTGAACTCCAAAAACACAAG